TCCTTCCAGAAATTGGACGCAGCTAGGTGGCTGCCCCTGGCACCCACTCCCGTGCCTACCCCACACCTACCACCCATGTATGAATGCCTCTGTCCAGGAACTGGGCCTTATTCTATTCAGGACATGAATCCTGGGTCTCCTGATTTTTTTTTTTTTTGAGGCAGAGTTTTGCTCGTTATCCAGGCTGGAGTGCAATGGCGCGATCTTGGCTCACCGCAACCTCCGCCTCCTGGGTTCAGGCAATTCTCCTGCCTCAGCCTCCCGAGTAGCTGGGATTACAGGCACGCGCCACCACGCCCAGCTAATTTTTTGTATTTTTAGTAGAGACGGGGTTTCACCATATCGACGAGGATGGTCTCGATCTCTTGACCTCATGATCCACCCACCTCGGCCTCCCAAAGTGCTGGAATTACAGGCGTGAGCCACCGCGCCCGGCTGGGTCTTTTGATTTTTATTTACTTACTAGAAGAAAAATTTTTAATAGAGGTCAATAAAGAAGAGGCTAAAAGTGTCACTCTTCTTGTTGTACTGATACATTAAAACCATTTTTTTTTACAGTTGGATCTTATTATGTTGCCCAGACTGGCCTTGAACTCGTAGGCTCAAGTGATCCTGTCTGCTTCAGCCTCCTGAGTAGCTAGCAGTATAGGCATATGCCAGTATGCCTGGCTTTGGACTGCAGCATTAAAACACACACACACACACACACACACACACACACACACGAGGAATACATGGCAGTAGAGAAATTTGTAAATGTAGAAAAGAAGAAGAAAAATCACTCAGAATGTATTCATCCAGCACAACTAATGGTACCATTTGAGGGCATTACCCTCCAGCTCTTTTTCCTTGACAAGTGGTCCCAAAGTGCAGTGTCCCCTGCTTGTCCACATACCACACTCCTCCAGAGCCCGATGAGGAAAAAGGGCAACTCTGCTGCTGAGCATTTCCTTCTTGGGTTACAGTTGGTCAGTGGGGAATGGGTGGAAGTCCAGCTAGCTCAAACACACAGATGCGCTGCCTTGCCTCCCAGCGGTCTTCCTGGAATTAAACTTCATTCTTGGCCTTCTGTGAAAAGTGTTGAACTTTATTTGTCTTTTTGCATCTACAATTTGGCAAACTTTTCTATGCAAGGCTGGGTCTGTGCCCAGAACTCTGGTTTTAAGGGGAGCAGAGTGTTCCCGCCACTGGGAGCTGGGATCGGTATGGTTTCTGGACAAGCCGCTGTCAATTTCAAGATCCCAGAAGATAGGCCCGGTGTGTCTTTCATCACTTCCTCCAAATCCTTGGCTACCTGATGCCAAGTCTCATCTCTTATGGGAGGTGGAGGATGTACTTGACCATGACAGACTTCCCTTTGTCCTGCAAGAAAAAACAACAGCCCCATGGAAGACCCCCCATGTGCTCTACTGCTTCTCTGACTTGAGCTGAGGTCTATGGCAGAACGGGAGGGGTAGGGGGTTCAGTGATGTTCAGGGGTTTGAATGGCCAGAAGCTGGCACTAGAAGTAGAGACTGGGACTGCACTGGCACCTTACATACGAGGTAGCTGAAGCAGCCTCCCTATCACTGCAGCCCCCCCTGGGGAGAGTGAGGGAGAGGGCTCAAGAGAGTTCTGGTGCATGCTAAATTTCAGGGGTACATGGAAAACCGGGAAGTCGGCTTGGAGGGGGAGGCGCTCGAGGTTTGCTGTTTGCAAAAGTTCACAGTATGATTTTTGAGAAGAGAGCGCATTTACACATGCCTGGGAGATGGGTATAGGAGGGCCTTGTCTTCATTTCCCGGCTGGCTCTTAGGAGGTTTGTCCCCTTGCCCGTAAGTATGTACATGTGGATAGGAGGCTGCTCACACTGGCTTTTGAGGGTTCCCAAGTATGAATTAAAAAAAGAAGAAAAATGTGTGCTTTGAATTAGATCTATGTGAAAAAAAAAAAAAAAAAAAAAAAAAAAGGCAGCAAGCTAAGCCATGTGTCTGGGACACTGGCTCCCCTCCAGGATTTCAGGAGAGTTGGGTTTCAGCATGCACAGGGAGAAAGTGCTCCATTTCTCAGACCTGGATTTCCTTGTCTGTTTTCCCCTATAGATACAAATCTGAGCCTTTGAATGGCCTTTTTGAGCAAGAAAGCATGTATAGCATTGCTCAGATTGAGAAACAGTTCAGATCCAAACATTACCATAGGTTTGGCTCCTTCAGGAATTTCTTCCATTGCTTTGGACCAATAAATATTTAAAAACTTAGGTTCTGAGCTCCAGAAAAGCCAACAAAAACGTTTAAACATATGGATTTTTTTTTTTTAAAAACTGTGGTTAAACCATGTTCAGTGGAGATTAGTTCGCAGCAGTGTTTTCCTTCTCTTTGCCTTACCACCTCCATCTCTCTTTTCTTTCTTTCTTTTTCTCTCTTTTTCTTTCTCTCTCTCCACCTCTTTCTCTCTTGCTTTTCTTTTTTTTCTGGAAACCAGAAGGGTAAACACGTTGCTATGGAGTTCTGTTTAAAATAAAATACAATGGAAAGAAAAGCAGCATGATGAAGTAACCACATGGACTGCAGGATACACCTGATACTAATTACTGTCATGCAGAACGTTCTGGAAGACATTTGACTCGCCTGATGTATACATTCAAATCAAGCAAAGGAGGACTGGAAGGCTCCTTGGGGACCATCTTGTCCAAGTCCTTCCTTTTTCCAGATGAGGAAGTAGGGGGCCCAGAGAGGGGGAGGGCCTGGACCTCAGCCTCCCAGCGCGGAGGGAGCAGAGCCGGGATTCAAACCCGGGGTGCTTTGTAGAACACTCATAATTTCCAGGGTCTTTTTCCTTGGCCTGTCAGTAAGGCCCTGAAATAGAAGAGTGGGGTTTACTGTGAACCTCGAAGGAGCAGACTTAAGAGCCAGGGAGTCCAGAAAAGCTGGCTTCCCACTGGGAGGCCCGACTTCCTGCAGGGGCCCCAGCCCTCGAGGGGAGAGACTGGACATTGAATGTCTGGAATTTCTCCATCTTAGGGCTCCAGGAGCACCCCAACGAGGCCTGGGGCTCCCACCAGAACGTCAACTCACATCCTCTTGGGGCTGCAGGGCTGACGCGAGCTGGCACTGTCTCTAACGACAGCCTCCCGGGCCCCCGGGTGCGTGGCTGCGGATGCTCTCTGGCGGCCACCACGGTTCCCACGCACGGAGGGCTGAACCGCGAGCCCCATGACAATGCGCGCCCCTCGCCTCTGCCCCCGAGAGGCTAGCAACTGGGCCTCCCGGCGTCTGATTGGCCGCGGGGGCCTGACGACAGGGGCTCCTCGTTGCTGATTGGCCCCGGCCAGCTCCGGCTGTTTCCTAGCTATTAATACCGTGGCTAATAAACGTTCTCCTGTTGACGCGGGTGCTCGGAGCCATGATTTTTTGAAGCGTTCTTGACGTCTGTGTCTGGTGCAGGCGTTTCTGCTGCGCAAGGCCTGCTTCCGGGGCTGTGGTCCCTGGGGCTCCTGGCAAGCTCCACAGGCTGTATAGGGGGTGTTTTCTTTCTCCCCCGCGTTACCTGACATATTAAAGCAGCACCCCACGAGGCCCCCAATGTCCCACGTCTCCATCACCCCAACAGCGCGCCTGTTTATGCAAAATCGAGGCCCCCGCACGCCCTCTCAAGGCTCTCTAGTGACCTGACGGTCAATGTTGACCTCCGTAGTCCTTAGCCGTGGACATAGAAATAGCCTTTCTCCTTTCCTTTCAGTCCTGGAATCTCCCGTCTGATTTACAGTCACCTCGTGGGACCGCTGGGCATGGGGGGGCTCCCTCTGAGGCCGCTTAAACCCCCTAAAGAAGTGCGGGGGAGCAGTTCAGACTTGATGCCCTCGGTGCGGGGCCTCTCTGTTGTCCTCTCTGGGGCCCCTCATCCTCACCCGCTTTCTGCTACCGGGCACTCCATCCTTGTCCTCCCGGCTGCCACCCACCTGTCACCCTAAGATAGATCCTCGGTCCCTTTCAACAGCATTTTGACCTTTGCGAGAGGACATTTGATTGACGGCCGTGTACGCTCTGGCACTCAGAGCTGGGCAGAGCTGCCGAGGGCTCCCACCTGTTAGGGATTAACGCTCATGTACCAGCCCCGGAGCCCGAGACCGCGGCGGGGCTCGGCGCAACATGTGTCGCTGCCTGCTTTCCGGGGCGGTGGTGGCGGTGGGGCTCTTTCCAAGGGCATGCGTGGGGGGATCACCCCAACTTTGAGGGGTAGTGCGCATGGGACGCAGTCCGTCCTCTAAAAGTACTTTCCTTAGAGAGCACGGCTCCTGCCTGGATTCTTATTACCCTGGTGTGTGTGTATGTGTGTGTACCCCTCGTTAAAGTGGAGGAAACGGACCCCCTGGAAGAGGAAAGGGGATAGCGGGTTCCGCGGACACGAGTTGTAGGCGCCGGAACCCAGGACTTAAAGCCAGGTTTTCTGACTCGGAGACTCGGAGACTCGGAGCTCTGTCTCTCTTGTCTCAAAGAGAACGGTCAGAAACGCGCGGGTGGGCAGGGAGGGGGTGACAGCCTCCGGCTTACATCTGGGAACTACTTATGTCACCTGGGCATTTTATTTTCCTGAACAGTAAGAGAAAGCATCGTTTTCTTTCGCCAAGCCCGCATCCTCTGAGGGATGTTCCGAAACCGCCAGGTGTGGAATCTGCGCCCCGACAGCCCCACCTTGGCCCTCGGCCGCCGGAGGACGGCCAACCCTCGGGGCGATTCCCCACACACATTGTGCACGAATTCACCCTGCCTGGCCAGCCGGGATCACGCAGGGAAAAAGCACCCGCGACCACAGGGTGTTGGTCATGGCGGCCGGGGGCACTGCGGCAGAATTTTTCCCTCCCTTCTTTGCTGCAATCTGGGTGCGGCTAGAGCGATTTGTCATAGAATCTGGGGGGCTCATTTTTCCGGCCAATCACTTTTAGAGAAATGAGCGCATTGCAGCAGAATGCGCTGACGTCAGAGACCACCCCTTCTGCGCCTCCATATAAACCCCACCCAGCCAGCCCCTAGCGCAGACGGCGGAGAGCGGCGAAGGAGCGCGCCTTGGCTCGCTGGCCTTGGCTGCGGCTCCTCGGGAGAGCTGGGGCGCCCACGCGAGGATCCCTCACCTGGTGAGTGGTTGGCTATCCTTGCCGCAGAGGACGTGCAGAAGAAAGACTGCATCCCCCTCTGGGGTGGGCTCTGTCCTCCTGGACAGGCCGAGAGCCCGATCCCGGTCCTGCTGCTGGAGGCGGCCACTTCGTCTGGTGCCCGAGCGTCCCCAACGAAATTTGGCAGAAGGAAAATCTCGAGGCACATATTCCTGGGGGGAAGTCAGGGCTCCTCTCGAGAGGGTCCAGTCCTTGAGGGCGGGCTGGAAGGTAGGGACTTCAGTTCAGAGGAGCGGGAGGAATCGGATGTAACCCCTCTTGGATTCGGTGTATGTCAGTCACTGGGGGGTGAACCCCGGATTTTCTGTATTGGGAGCGCCTCTAGAGTTGCGTTAATAGTGGGAGATATGGCGGCGAAGCCTTCTGCATGCCCCATGCATTGGGGGGAGCACCCGAATGGAAGGGTCTCCCGGGCGGATTTGCCTGGCCAGTTGTTGGCCAGGTTTTTGGTGGATCGTGGGCGGGAGGAGTGGAGGTTCCTCTCGGCGAGGGATTCCAAATCCAAATACACAGGTTTAGTGCAGGGTGGACTCCAGGCAAAATGTAGAGTAAAATTTCGACCCGATATCATCTGGTTCTGCCCCGAGCAGCCACTTTCACAGTGGAGAGAGATGGCGCCCAAGTGCAAACCTGCCAGGAGCCCCCTAGGACCAGTCCCTGCTCAAGGGGGGCGAGGGATTGGGGGGCACAGGCAGAATAGATGCAGGGGGTGGGTTGGGGACGGAGGGACGGCCGTGTCCTTGGATCTGAGAAGAGGGAGGAGAGAAATTCAGAAAAGGGGGTGTGTTGCTGGGGTATGGACGCTGAGAGCTGGGGAAGAAGGGCCGCGGGGGTCTTTTCAGCCTTGCGTGGTGGTCTCTCGAAAATCCTGACGTGTTGTAGGCTTGGACCTTTGGTCAAGTCGCCTTTTGCCGTTTCCTTTGTCCCTGTCAAGGCCCCCCAGGACGCCCCCTCCCACCCTGGGCCGGCGGGCCTGGTGGGGGCGCAGGCGGGTGGCTACGTGGCAGGTTTCTGGAAGGTTTCCTGGCTGGCCGCGAGAGGGCGCTGGCGTCACTGCGGAATTTTGGGGGGCGGGGTGGGGAGGGGAGGTGGCCTTTGTTCTGCTGATGGAGGGGGTCGGGCGCGGGATCCACTGGAGGATCCTGGATTCATTTACCCAAGGGGGAACAGTTTCGAGACCCCGGGTTCACTGCGGAACGGCCTCACAGGCCGGGGTCGGCCCTGGCGCCGTGGCTTCGGGTGTCTTGGACGCGCGGACGCACGTTAGTTGATTTCCAGTGGTTTTTGGTTTCGGGGGTCTTAGGAAGGTGCGGCTCATTTGAGCAGGATGGAGAGAGAGGCTGCGACAGGGTCAGTGAGGCGCCATCGCACGGGGTCTAGAAATTGTTGCCGTGGCGAAGGAGGGAGGCACGACTTTGGGGGCGCGATGTCGACGCCTGGGGGCAAAGGCGGGGGGGTGCCGGCGGGGTGGCCCCCTTTGCGTTACTTTCCAGCGATGTCATAGGTTCTGTCTCTTGTCCTGAGACCACCCACATGAGTGACAGCGGTATCTGGAGGACTGGGTCTTTTTGACTTTAGTGAACGTGTGTTTAATCGGATTGCCGAAGGTGGGAGCTGAGATTTCTCTGTTTTCCTTGTCGCAGGGAAAGCAGCGCTCTGGAGGGGTCTGGCACGGGTTCGCTGGGTGGCCCACGTTCCTCTGGGGTGGGGGTCCGGTGGCTGCGGGTGCAAGAGGCCCCTGGCGCGGGCGGGAGGCGCTGGGTGGCCACAGGTGGGCTCTGACTGTTGGTGGCTGGAGAGGCGTCGAGGGGGTGCAGGGGCCTGGCGCAGCGGTGTGGGGTGGGCTGTGCAGCCCTTCCTCGCCTGAGACCTGTTGGGCGCCCCCTGCCCTTCCAGGCCCGCCGGGTGCAGGCGGGGGCGCCGCAGGTGGCTGCGCTCCTGGTTTCAGGGTGAGGGCCGCGCGCCCCCTAGCGGTCTATGCCTGCCCCGCTACCCTGCTTTCCGTCGCGCACGCGCACGCAGCTAACACTTGTGACCTGTCAATCAAATCATCATTACCCCCTCCCACTCCTCTCCTCCCCCTCCCATTTCTCCTCTCCCTCCACCCTGTCTCATTTCCCGTCCCTCCTCCCCTTCCTAGTTTTTCTCCCTCCTCCCTTTTTCATCGTTCCTCTTCCTTTCTCCCCCTTCCCCCCTCATTTTTCTTCTCTCTTTTCCCCTCCCCTCCCGTCCACTCCCATACCCTCCCCGCCTCCCCCCGTCCCCGCCCCCGCCCCCGCCTCCTCTCCCTCCTCCCTCCCGCCCCCGCCTCCTTTCCCTCCTCCCTCCATACCCCTTCCTCTTCCCTCCCAGCCCCTCCCTACCGCCTTGCTCACTCCTCCCCTTTGCCACTCCTCTCTGCCTGTCCCTCTGCCTGCCCCCTCCCGCCGCCTGCTGTTCCGGTGCTGGCCGGTAGAAGTCATAAAGATGGTTTCTAATTTGCCCCCTTCCCATGCCATAGGGTCTCTCCTCAGGGATGACATCATCTATCCACCTCCTTGTCTTCAAGAACCACCAACCCTCCATGCCGAGCTGCTGCCAAGGGGCCTGCTGCCCATCTACACCTCACGGTACCTCAGCCCTCCAGCTATCATTTTATATCCAACATGTTGGGGAGAATCTCCCAACCCCACCACCGTCCTTGCACCGACCCCAGACCCACTAGCAGTTAAAAGACAATTTTAAACTTTAACTTATCAGCTTTAATGATAATTAAGTCACTTAAATTGTAATTATGATCTAGGCCTCGACTTTTGAAGCAGCTTCTCTAACCTTTGATTAATTGCAGAGGGCACTAAGAGCACAGATTCCTGGATCCCACCAGCATACGCAGCAGCCACTGACAGACCCCCAGGACCAGGATGGCAAAGGATGAAGAGGACCAGAACTGACCAGCCTGCTGTCCCTCTTGCCTAAAGACTTAAACCAATGCCCTAGTGAGGGGGCGTTGGGTGTGAAGCCCTGACCTTTGCTGTGTTCATGCTTTGTCTCTGAGTACTTTCCTATACATCTTTGCTTGTGTTCACCTGCTAGCAAACTGGAGTGTTTCCCTCCCCAAGGGGGTGTCAGTCTTTCTCGACTGTCTGTCATCACCCTTATGATGTCCTAAATGGAAGGATCCCTTTGGGAACTTCTCAGGAGGGGGACCTGGGCCGAGGGCTTGACCAGCGTCCTGCTGGCAACTCCCAGGCCCTGGGTGGGCTTCTGGAATGAGCATGCTACTGAATCCCCTAAGGCATGCCCCACCTCTCTGGGGATCTTTCTGTCCTTTTCTGGGGAATGGGGTCGATGGGAGCAACCTCCTAGGGTTGTTGTGAGAATTAAATGAGATTAAAGAGGCCTCAGGCAGAATCCGGCATAGAGGAGGTGATCAGCAAATGTTTGTTGAGAAGGTTTGTCAGCTCAGTCCCTTCCCACCCCGTTTGCTTGTCTTGTTCATCCTGTTAATTCTCCCACAGCCCTCCAGGCAGCCCTCGTCCACGGGGCTCTCCTTGCATCAGGCAGGGGCTCGCAGAGACCACCGACGGGCTGACTTGAGTAAGAACACGAGTGACGCATGTGGCCATTTCCAGAGCACTTTCTGTGTGACGTGAACACGTGGTTTTTACGTACTGTGTGTGTGTAAATGAGTCAGCCTAATTTCCAGGTGACAACACATTTGGTAGTATTGATTCGTGTAATTTAAAAAGGTTAAAAGGCAAAGAGGACCTGTGAGGCCTTACATTTACACTAAAGAAACTGGGCCGGGCGCGGTGGCTCAAGCCTGTAATCCCAGCACTTTGGGAGGCCGAGACGGGCGGATCACAAGGTCAAGAGATCGAGACCATCCTGGTCAACATGGTGAAACCCCGTCTCTACTAAAGGTGCAAAAAATTAGCTGGGCATGGTGGCGCGTGCCTGTAATCCCAGCTACTCAGGAGGCTGAGGCAGGAGAATTGCCTGAACCCAGGAGGTGGAGGCTGCGGTGAGCCGAGATCGCGCCATTGCACTCCAGCCTGGGTAACAAGAGCGAAACTCCGTCTCAAAAAAAAAAAAAAGAAACTGAAACTTGGGGGAGGCGTAAGTATTTGGTCACATTGCTGGCAAGAGAAGGGGTTGGAGTTGGACCCAGGGTGCCATGGTAGCTGCCCTCACCCCCTCTTCCTCTCTGTCCCAGAGTTATACTAAGAGTCTTTTTGTTTCAAACCAAACGTTTGACAACGGGACAGTCTGTTTGAAATCCCAGCTGCCTGGGGTGGACTTGGGGGTCTGGGTGGCCCTGGGGCTGGTACCATGCATTGGCTTCACCTTTTAATAATGGTGTGACCTTAAACAAGTCGCCTAACTTCCCTAAGTTTCAGTTTCTTTCATGGTCTAAATGGAGATGAAAACACCCCCCCCACACACCCCCCCCCACCCCCCCCACACACACCACCACACACACACCCCACTACACACACACACCCCACCACACACCCCCTTGTGTATCTACCCCGCAGGGCGCTTTTGAAGACCAAATGCGGTAAGTACTATGAAAGTGCTTTGTAAATTGCTGTGGAAATTGCAAGCTGCTCAAACACCCGAGGCTGTCCCTCCTCCTTCGCTCCCGTGTCCAGGCCTATTCTCCCTTAGTGAGAACAGCACGCAGTAGGTGCTATGTATGTTTGTGTTCATTCTGAAATTCCAGAATAACTAAAAACAAATGAATTCAACAAACATTTTCTGGAGCACCGACGATATGCGCAGTGCACCGGTCTCTCGGAACCTGATTGGGGTCCTGGTCTGACCAGCACTTTCTTTGGTCCCCTTTTAAGCCGACTAGTTTTGTCCAGACAAGACAAAAACAACGTGGGCTGCCTTAGAGAAGTCCCGCTCGCTGCGGACAATGGCTGCCCGGATTGGATTATGTGGCAAATGGAGGTGTGAGGTTGACTTGGACGGTGACAAATGAAGTGGGCGGAGACCTGCTTTGAGTTAATCCAGGCTATTAGGAGGGGACCTTTTGTTTTCCAGAGACTGGCAGGAGCTTTTACCAGTGTTTTTTTTTTTTTTTTTTTTTTTTTTTTGAGACGGAGTTTCGCTCTTGTTGCCCAGGCTGGAGTGCAATGGCGTGATCTCGGCTCACCGCAGCCTCCGCCTCCTGGGTTCAGGCAATTCTCCTGCCTCAGCCTCCTGAGTAGCTGGGATTACAGGCACGCGCCACCATGCCCAGCTAGTTTTTTTGTATTTTTAGTAGAGACGGGGTTTCACCATGTTGACCAGGATGGTCTCGATCTCTTGACCTCGTGATCTGCCCGCCTCAGCCTCCCAAAGTGCTGGGATTACAGGCTTGAGCCACCGCGCCCGGCCTTGCCAGTGGTTTTTACATCCTTAATGTTCAGGACAAATAATTTATGGTCGGTGAAAATCCAGGCCCCAGTGAGATTCGAGTGGGCTGTAAGCTCGAGAGTGCGCTCCAGTGAGTAATGGCAGGGACTGTTTCGGTCACTTTTTGCAAGCGTCCATTCATTTGATCCTCACAACTCCCTGTCCTGAGCCAGGGCCGGCCCGCCACTCCCAGGGAAAGAGGCTGTCAAGTGCTTGCAGGTTAGGCGTCCTCACCGGCCCATTGAGCCCCTGTGGCCTGAGTTCCAGAGGAGGCATTGTACCCGCCTCAGCCCGGCCTCCTCCAGAGGCCTCCCTCTGCACTTCTGACTTTGCTCTGCCGGCAGCCTGGAGCCTCCCAGGTCCCTGCTGTCCCCTTTTCTAGCTGCTACAGCCTCCGTCTTTCCTTTCACAGCCAAGCTTCTTGAAAGGCCTGCCTATACCTGCTGTCTTCCCTCCTCACCTCCAATTCCCTCTTCAGCCCACTGCCTCCTGACTCGCTCTACTCCGTGGAAGGGCTCTCACCAAGGTAAAGACTTTTCTGTAGCTTAACCCTCGGCACGTTGGCCGCTCATGGCCACAAGGACGCGTTTCCGTTCCTTCTCTCACGTGTCTCTGCGGCTCCGGCTCACTTCTGCGCACTGACACTCCCCGTCACAGAGACACCCGCTCCCCTAGGAACTTGCACACCCAGGACTCCCTCATGCAGGAGGTCAGTCCCTCGGACTGACTCCGTATGGTGTGTAGACGGCATGGTAAGAAGCAGGTTCCAGAGTCAGGAGTCGCTGACCTGGGTTCGAGTCCTAGTTAAACTGCTCCGTGCTGAGACCTTGGGGTAGGTAAACTTTTCCAAGCCAGGTTTATCTCAGTTTCAAAATAGGGTTAATCATCTTTATCTGGCAGGTCAGGTGGGATGTCTCCCAGGTAAGCACCAGGTGCTGTGTGAAGGACTTTGAGGCAAAGTCAATAAAGCATTCATGAGAAAATGCGACTGGAGGTTTCACTAGATTTTTGTATACATTGAGTTCCCACGGGGGCGGACCAGAGAGAGAAGAAAGGAGTGGAAAGGGGTTGGGGCGGGGCGTGCAGGACAGACAGGAGAAGAGAAGCAAAGGCATGAAAGACACAAGAAGCCAGAGAAGGAGACTTAAAAATATTAAAAGCCGCCCAAAACGCATCCACAGGCGGTTTCCCCTTACGTGAGGTTGGGCTAAAAGAAGGCAAACAGGAAGAAGGTTTTAAATTGATTATCCCAACGACAAATCCCAGGAAGCTCTCACATCAAATCACCCTCTTTTGGTTTTTTAACTTCTTCCATCGAGTTTAACCTCTTTACCCCTGACATCCTGGTAAACCCGGCCCCTGCCCTCGTCCCCTTGGCTGGTGATTAACTCTGCCACAGGTACACGGAGTATTTCAGTGAATGAATGGCTAACGGAAAAGGGCCTCCCCTCCCCCTCCCCCGGCTGTGTTTTTCAATTTTATTCCACTTTCTGCCCTTTTCCCTTAATGAACACAGGCTAATCTTGGGCCTTGTCGAGGGAGGAGGCAGCAGAAGTTAATGAGGTTAGCTGCTGGATTCCAGTGTTCGTCGCATAAGGAGCCTTCTTTGTCTGGGAAGGAAAAACGCACTGATTATCAACCTGAGGTGAACTGGCCATCGCCGGGCAGGGGCGACGTGGCTTCTTAAGCCACACTTGTAATTTTGGTGCCGGAGCTGATGTTTCTCTTGCTCCTCATTTAAGTCTTTGCCTCTGTCCCAGCGCGAAGTCCGTTCCGTGGGGTTGAGAGTGGCAGGCAGCCTGGGGAAAGGGACTGTGGATAGGGTTGCGTTGTAGAAAGCTGCTTTGTTAGGTCCTTCGCGCAGATGCAGCTGGCCGGGGCATTCATCCGCCCTCCAAAGGCTGGGGACGAGGGGGTCCTCTCAGGACCCACGGAGGACACCCAAAACTCACTCAAGATTAACCAGTGGTAGGAAAGCACTAACTCCTAGGCATAGCCCTAGGGGAGTGACCGCAGGATGAATACCCGTGGAACCCCCGGCCAGGTGAAGAAGTGAACGCACGTTGGCATCCCAGAGGGCCCCCAGAAGAGACCATAGTTTGGGGTTCAGATTTGACTCCAGCGTACTGATGAAGTTGGGGCACAGGGGGCTAGTGATTTGTCAGGATCAATCAGCAGAGAGGAGATTAAAACTCACATCTGGCATCAGAACTTCTGTTCTGATTGGCCTCTTACTACCTCACCCACGTGTCCTGCACCCTTCACCTACGTGAACCCTCATCCTCTTTGTTCTGATCTTTGAGCTCCCTAGAGCCCGTTGATGTCTTTAGAGCAGGTATGTCTGAATCATTCGCTTATTTGTCCCAAGCTCTGGATGTTTCTCACCCCAAGGCAGATCAATCATGATTAGATCACTCCAATTAAACCTTAGGCTACAGTCGGACCTTCAGCCAAATGGAAAAAAACTAGGGTTGATAAGGGAGGTAGTTGGAGCAAGAAAATGTTATTCGTTGAAACCTTAAGGGACGTCCCTTAGTGAATCTGTTGGCTAAAGGTTCTCTGGCATCATGAGTTAGAATTGGATACTTTTTCCGAGTTAGCAAAACCAACTCTACCCCAGCACCCCAAGAAAAAGAATGTGGAAGGATCACCTGTTGGCCACTTGGAGCAAAAGCCTGAGGCCATCCTCCATCCTTTTTGCCACGGCGAGACTTTCGCAGTGACTATGATGTCGTTACCCACTCTGTCTAGGGCAGTGTTGAGACTAGAGGTGGACTGGGGTGTAGACCTCTGAAGCTGAGATCACATGAAAACCCAGCCCCCTCCCATGTAGCTGTTGGAGAATAGAAAAACAGAGCACGCCTGACATTTCTAGATGAGAAGACTTCTTTCAATAGTGATGAAGACTCCCTGGACCCTCCTCACCCTCAAATACAGGCCCCAAAGCCACTGTTCGGACTCCAGTAGCCCTGCAGACATTTGAGAGCCTGGAGCCGGTGTAGAAGAAATCAGCTGGCCCTGCACACGTTCTCCGCAGTTCCTCCTGGAGCCCTAACAAGCTTTCTTTTTCTTTTTTCTTTTTTCTTTTTTTGAGACAGAGTCTCGCTTCGTCACCAGGCTGGAGTACAGTGGCACGATCTCAGCTCACTGCAACCTCCGCCTCCTGGTTTCAAGCGTTTCTCCTGCCTCAGCCTCCCTAGTAGCTGAGGCTACAGGTACACGCCACCACGCCCAGCTAATTTTTGTATTTTTAGTTGAGGTGGGGTTTCACTATGTTGGCCAGGATGGTCTTGATCTCTTGACCTTGTGATCTGCCCACCTCGGCCTCCCAGAGTGCTGGGATTACAGGCGTGAGCCACAGTGCTCGGCCAGTAAACTTTGAAAAATTAAGTCCCCACATCCCCATCCTGCTTGGGTCTCTGGACTTTTCTGAGGCACTGGCAGAGGGGTCTCACTGCTCCTTTGAGTGTAGGGGCGGCACCTTTAACCTGGCTGCTTGTTTCTGGGGCACCGGAGAGCCAGCAGGAGCAGGTCTGTGCCTTGAGAGGATGCAGCACAGGGACCCCCACCCCAACTCTTCAGTCCAGGGCCCTGGCTGGCTTCCCTTGTTGGTCCTCTGACTGCTCATCCCATAACATCCCTTGAGCCATCAAAGTTATCTCCTGGAAAGGGGGGAGATGCACTTTAGACAGGTGGGAGAGGAGGCGCGTGGCCAGGGAGTGTCCCCACTCGATTCTAAGAGCCACTGCTTTTTCTGCTTCTGTTGCCTTCTCCTCTGTCCTCTCGATGTCTCCTCTCCCTCCCCAATTCCTGACTTGGCCCTCCTAGGATGCCCTTGGCCAGCCCCACAGCCCCCCCCACGCCTCCTCAGGGTGTCCCAGCACCAGCCTGGCACAGAATGGGGCTCAGTTAGAGTATGTGGGATGTTGGTTTCTCCAGGCGACTGAATGAAAGGACTCGACCGTGACAGCTGAGCCACTAGCTGGGCCATGCGAGGAGTTCCAGGTGAAAAGGGTGCGGGGTGGATTCGTTTCGCAGAGGGGCGTGGGCAGCTTCCGACCCCTGCCCCACTTGAACGGGGGCCTTGTTGGTCGCGTCCTTGCATTTACTCGCGCGGCCATTCCGTCATCCAACAGTTGATCCTAACTGAGCAAGCCCACAGCCCTGGCTCTGGCCTGGGCACCTGCCACCGTAGCGCATCCCTTGATGGCCTCTGCATCCCAGGAGGGCAGGCCGGGGGGTTGCCCCAGCGCCTGGAGCAGCCTGTTCTCCGGCTCCATGGAGGGCAGGCCGGAGGGTGTGAGGGCAGATTTCAGCCATCCCCAGGGCTCTGCTCTGGTGGGAGCCAGCCCGTCCTCCTTCTCGGCCTTCCCTGCCCCATTCCTGATGCTGAGCTGTTCTGGACCCCAGGCCCTGAATCTCAGGACCAAAGTGGGCATGGGAACAGCGGTAGTGTGTGCCCCCGGGCTTTGGCCACAGGTCTCCCTCTTGAGGTGCGGTCGTGACTGCGACCCTTCCCTTGCCGTGATGCTTTCCTCCCCCGGGGCTTGGTCCAGCTCCTTGACCCTCTACCAGCTGCTGAGGCCGGCATCCCAGGCCGGGGACCAGCAGGGAAAACTCCAGCGTGCGTCTGCAGGCTCTGCCTTTGCCTATCTGGTCGCTTCTCTCCCTGGTGGCTCAGCTGGCTCTCCGGCGGCCAGGTTCCTTACCCACCTGGCACTCCGTCTGCAGGCCCACCCCTCTGCCCACCTCTTCTTCTCTGCCTCAGTCCCTGGGCTCCAGGGCTTCGCTGCGCAGCCCTCTGGCTTCTTCTCTCTGCCAAGCCCACACCTGTGGTCACCTGGCCCTCCTGCGGTCTGAGTCCCCCCCTCCACCCCACCCCCTGCCCCAGGAGCCACTGCCTCTCCAGCTGCCTGTTCTCAGCAGGTTCCCAGTGCCCCCACAAGCCCCTTCTGGAGTCTCCATGTCCTGCCGAGCATCCTCCAGTGCCTCCTCCTGTGGGCCTGGCTTCAGGGCTGAGGACAGACATGTGTCCTGTACCAGAGACCCCTCGTGATCAGGCCCTGGTGGGTGTTGGCCCCGCCTGCCTTTGCCTCTGCCATGGCCCCCGGAGTCCTGGGCTCCCCACTCAGTGTTGGGTTTGGGGCTGCCCTTAGCCCAGGCTGTTGCTTCTTTGGACCGAATTTCCTGTCATTGCGCCCGGCAGTCACTCCACTTCACTGGAGAGCAACCTGCAGGTGAGGCCATGCCCTGTGTCTGTCTTGGGCATGTGTGCCTTTTCTGGGGCACGTGCCTTGCCATGATCCTAACCCTCTGCCCTTCTCCAAGCTACGTGGGCCGTGGCCTGGCTGGGTCAGCTGAAGAGCTGCAGATGGAAGCGGAGGAAGAGCCCCCGATGGGACCGACCACCCCGGACCCAAGTCTTCTTCCTGGCTGACCTCTTGCCTTCTTCCTGGTTTGGGGTGAGTTTCTTGCTCTCTTGAGACACCAGAATTTTATTAGGGTCAGGCTCATGTCTCTCCTCTCCGTTCAAGAGTGTCAGCATTTAATCTGGGGAGGGGGCAGACTACCAAGGTGAATCTTCTCCACATAGCCTCGGAGGTGTCTGGGGGCCTGACAGCTGCCTGGAGTGGAGAGCCTTGCTACCCGCCGCCAGCACGTGTGGGGGTCCACCCTGGCCGATGGCATGCTGTGGGCCAACGACAGTAAGTGGGACGTGTCCACCTCCACGACAGATCCCCGAGGAGAGCGGGGGCCCAGCACACGGGAGCCCTCAGAACTTTGCTGGACACACTGGCACACGGGATGCAGGGCCCACTCCCGGCCCACAGACCCGTTCACACAGGAGGAAGTGGGAATGCTCGCTGCTCCTCAGCTGGCAAGATGTTTCTTCCCACCAGCCCTGGGAGAATCATGGTTTCTCACACATGAGGCTTTGATAATGTCCTTTAATCAAATAGTGGCTTTCCAGCAAGTTCTTTTCTTGGCCTCCTTTCCTTACCCCTGAAATTACAATGAGATGGGAATGTTTTTGTTTGTTTAAATGAAATCAGCAATGGTAGAGAGGAAAGGAGCAGGGGATTGGAGCCACACAATTCACTCGCACACTCGTGTGTTTATTTGTGGTTTACTCATTCAAGATGCACCTGGGAGCCGGCCGGGGCGTGGGCTTGGGCTTGGGCTCGTTTGGGGTGCCTGAGGCTGGGCTTTGCACTGAGGACCAGCGAGCGGGTCTAGTTGGGTGTCCTGGGAGCAGCCATGCAGTGAGGTGGCTTGCACGGCAGCTAAGCAAGGTGGCATGGGGGCAGGGGCTCAGGGCTGCATGTTGGCCGGCCACGTCAGGGGTGAAGGCTGGGCCTGCAGAAAGAGAGGAGGCCCAGCGGTGGGCACTTTTCCTTTCTGGGGTCCCAGGGACTGAGCCCGTGGCTCACTCAGGGTGATGGCATGTTTTCAGAGCCAGCTGCCCTGGGGGCAGCGTCAGCCTCCCGATAATCCCTTATATCTGACACCCCGGGGGTGGTCACTGGCGTCAATGAGTACAGTGAGGCTTCCCAGGGGCCCTGGGTGGGCGCTGAGAAAGGTCTGAACCGTGGGGCGAGGCTGGCTCAGTGTCCCCCGACATTTACGGAGCCTGGAACGAGTCTTAGCACTGTCCTTGGCCCAGATGCCCATACTTCCCCCAGACACCCACGCAGGGGGTCCCTGAGAGGGAAGTGGAGGAGCAGAGCCACACACCGGGCGGCGCCCAGCCTCCAGCCCTCCACATGCAGCAGCCCGAGGGCAGGCCCCCGCCCCCCACCCCGCAGGGGCTCCGGTTTCCAACGCAGCCTCGCAGCCTCCGTAATGCTCTTTAATCAAACGGAGGATTTGGAGACAGCTCTTCTGCAGCCCTGCCCTTCTCCCCTGAAATTGAAATAGGATGGGGATATTATTTTTAAACAAATCTGGCCGCGGAGGACAGAGGGGCAGAGGCGCTCTGACCTGGGCTGTTGCCTTTGTCTGCCTGCTTCCGCTCTCTGGAGAGCCCCTCAGCCTGGAGAGACGGGGGCAGTGTGTGCCCAGGGCTAAACCCAGGGAGGGGCCCAGGAGCACTCTGCCCTGTGACATTTACTCCAAGGCTAGCATTTGCTGAGCCACCTGCAAACACAGTGATGCGGAGAAGAGGCCTAGGAGGGGAGCTTTGCGCAGGGCAGGATGCCGGGCTCCTGGGGGGATGTGTCCCAGGCTTCTGAGAATGCATTTGCGTAGCTGGTCTGAGCCGGATCCCCTCAGCTCCTGAACTCATTTCTCAAGGACACCTGAGGACTTTCCCAAGGAGGACTAAGCCCAGGGGCAGAGTCAGAGCGAAGGCCGGGACAAACAGGCGAGGCCCAGGCAGGACCACAGCTTTGCCAGCCCCTGGCTCTCAGGAGTTGAAAGGGAACTGTCTTTGCACTGAGTTCTATTTCAGGTGCTCATGAGTGTTCAGTCTCAGGAAGCATGTATTTGGGGTTTTGTGTGTCATGAGGTAGAAAATAGGGAAAAATATACCGCATTCTTAACTAAAGAAGTTGAAACGTGACATAGAACATCAGCCTCGCCGATGAGCCTCTCAGGAACTGCCGAGAGGCTGTTATTAAGTGTTGAGAGACGTGATCATTTTCAGGAACATTCTATTTTATTTAGTTATATTTTTTTATTTTTGAGAGGGAGTCTCGCTCGAACTCCTGACCTTGTGATCTACCCACCTCAGCCTCCCAAAGTGCTGGGATTACAGGCGTGAACCACCGCTCCTGACCATCTATTTTGACGGATTGGCCAATTCCTGAGCAACAGGGGGTGGAGAAGAGACCCTGACTGAGCAGGCAGTGAGCCACAGAGGATCCTGTCACGTCAGCGGAGGGCGGTGGGGGATGTCTGGGCATTTGCTATAGTGCTAAGTGGTTCCTGGGGGGCCGTCTCTAGTGGGACTCTTCTGGGTGGTGCAAGTGTCAGGGTGAAGATGGTGGTCCGGTCTGGAAACTGGTTCTCCTCTTCCACCTGCTGCCCTCTAACCAAAGGCTAGCTCAGGCCTGAGCTCGTGGAAAGGCCCCTCATTCGCTTATTCGCCCCCACCTTCTCTCACCTGCGAGTTGCTTGTGGCTGCCTGCAGGTCTCCTGACCTCCTGCCTCCTGAGTTGTGATTCAAACCCCAAATGTCTTTCCAAGTACATTTCTCCAAATAGTGTCAAAACTCCGTAAGACTTAGGGGCAACAGGATGCATGGGCTTCTTTTTCATTCATTTACATGAAATAACGAAAATGTGTTTTTTTATGAGCAATCTGACATCCAGAAAGAATGGAAAAGAAAATCTACCCGTCTTTAATGAGCTGCTAATGAATTTTTCCTTGCAAAGAGGAAGGGAGCTTTCCACAGAAGCGGGTGTGCAGGGAGACAGATTCAGGTCCCAAAGGGTTAAAGGGCAGGGGGCATTGTGAGCGCAGTGGAAAAGCCCTGGGTCGCTGGGGGCGGCTTCTTTTTAGGAGACTGGAATTAATGAGTTGTGAATTGTCCCAAGGACTGCTTCCCCCTCCCCAATGCTTCTCTGAGCCCTGTCCGTCTCCCAAGGGGGGAATAAGGAAGTCTAGCCTGGTCTCCTATGCCTGATTTGAGCAGATGGAAAAGTCTAGAAAAGAGTTGTACCTTTTGAAATGAGGCCTCTCAAATGTGGGGTTCCCGGACTGGCAAGGAGAAGGATGTCTCTGGGGGCGGAGAGGCTGTGGTTATGGCACCCCATTTAGACAAGGCGTCCATGCCTGGGCTGCCCACAGGCTCTTGGGGGCGTCTAAGGAAACGGAGCCACAGGACAAGCTTGCCTCCTTGGCACAGATCGGGTCAGTGTTTCAGAGCCAGGAAAGGTGGGAGTGCGGGGGGCCCTTGGTGCTGTGAGGAGCGCGTGGCCCTTCGGCTACTGCATCCCCTCCCAGGAGCCCTGCCAGGAGAGGGGTCCCAACACCAGCTGGATCCAGTGGTCATGGAGGGACCCCTTATCCGAGAGGCCCACTTTTGAGGTGCTCATAGAGCTGGAATTCCTAGGGCCTTCAGGGTTGGAGTCAGGTCCCGAGGCCAGGGCCTGGGCCCCCATCCTCACCGTAGAACACTGTGGTCACTTTACTCAGGACAAACTGTGACAAGGACTCGGGACATATCTCTGTCTGTCCTCTCAGCTCCTGTCACCCCGGAGCCCTTGGTGATCATGGGCTGCCCGTATACAGAGCAGGTGCTGGGTCACAGGGCCGCCGTGGGCCTCCCAACGTGAGGGATTGTGTGTGACAGAGGAGTTCATTGCGGGAGAGGACGGTGGCCCATGACTTTCTTAATTGCTCTCCAATTTCTTTGGGCTTAAAAGTAAATCCAGATGGAGAGTTCTTAAGTCCCCTACCCTGGGAGAAAGGAAGGCTGCCCACCGCCTTCGGCTGGCCTCCACTCTCAGCAGTGAATAGGGTCTTTGGCAGGGGCTTAAGGAGGAGACTCTTAGCCTGGGAGCTCCCAGGGCCGTTTCAGATGGAAACAAAGGCTCCGCGGAGAGGAATGTTGGGGAGCCCCCCGTGGGGAACAGCCACCTGGGGATAATTGGGAGGACTGAGCGCAGATGAGTTTTCCCAGGTTCTGTGAATGCGCCCTTTCAATGGAAGGTGCCTTTTCTTCAGAAGAAAAGAAGAAAACGTCAATTACCTTCCCCTGAAACGGAGTGTGTGTGTGTTCCTCCCAGGGGTTGCGTGGGGCCCCTGCCCTTGTGTGTGTGTCGGGAGCTCCAAGGCTGCACAATGACGCACTTAACCAGCCACCGGGTTCACGCGACCCTGGGATGCTCACGCTCTCAGATTCTCGGGCTTGATTGTCGAAGGTTTCTTAGCAAGGGGGAATCCGTGTGGCTGTGCCTGTAAACAAAAATTTGATCAGCCTGGGCCTGTTGCCTGAAATATAGCCAAAGAGACAGAATGGGGCCGAGGAGAGAGAGGTCCAGGATGGAAAGTTGGGGAAGGAGGACAGTGGGGGGGCCAAAGGCTCACCGCACGGCTGCGCTGGCCTCCTTGCTGCTCCGTCTGCCGCTCCAGCCTTTTCTCTGGGCCCTGCTGGGACTGCACAGAGAGTCATTCCCTTTGGGGGTAGGGGTTTAGAAATCCACGGGGCTCTTGCTTCACGGTTAGGGAGGAGAGGAGGGGGTCTCATGGCCTGCAGTGTCGGTGGGCAGCTGCGAGAGAGGGGACCCTTTGGTTAGAGAAAGCTGTTTGCATCACGACTAGCCCAGACTGCCGTAAGGGTGGGGCCATCCAGAGGGACCGGGGCAAAGTCCCTGCCGTGACAGGAGTGGGGCCCGGGTCAGTCTTGACCGGTCGCTGACTTTGCTGG